ACGGGAAGAAGCTGTTCTTTAGTCTGTTGGTTTTGCACCTGATGGATCTGAGCCTTTTTCCAGAGGGCAGGATGTTGAAGAGGTGGTGGTTAGGATGGAGGTGGTTCTTTATAATTGCCCTGGCTCTGGAGAGACTCTGGAAAAATTTGGATCAATTTGAACATTTTGGAGCAGGTGTTTTTTTTGGTCAGCACCCTCTGTCCATAATAATGTAAAACTGGCTTCACTGTCAACAGTGAGTCTAGTGTTGCAGCAGCTTTAAGTTCATGTGAGTTGACCTGAGTTGTTCCTGAACATCCTAACTAATCTGAGGGTCTTCTTGCAGACTTTGGCAACACATCCAAATAACTTGTGCTCTCATACAGTTGTTTGGACTGATGATCTTGGAATCTGGAGTTGCTTAGAAATGGCTCTAAGAGACATTCACAACTTGTGTAAATCTGCAATCCTCGTTCATAGCTCTTCACTGAGTTCCTTGGACTTTCCCGTTGTATTGACAGTGAGTGCTGTCAAACAAATCCTTTTTATGCTGGCAAAGTTGTAGTTAATCATACTAACAAAAAGTTAATAGGCCTCGGCTTTCACAAATATAAAAGACATCATAGAACCTTCAGCACCACCTCTGTACAGTCAAGTGAATGTGCAGTCTGTCAAACTTAAATGTTTCAGATCATCCAAAAATTCTAATACGAGACAAAAATAAACCAAGTGAATACAAAATGCAGTTTTTTAAATGATGAGTGTGCCCATGTCTCCACCATGGTTGATAGATGTCATGGTATGCTGAAGATCACGAGTTGTGCCTTTTCTCCTCCATACTGTTTTCTTCCCGTCATTCAAGTTCATTTTTTGTACAACTTTGCAGGCGCTTCCAGTTGCCGAGGGTAACTAGTGGTTTTCCTCTCTGTCTCTTGATTGTACACTTCGGACATCAAGTTATTTTTCTTAGTCAAGAAAATAATTTTGGTATCGTCCACTTAAGTTTTGTTCTGAGTCTTCCTGGCCTTTTGGTGTTGCTGGATGTAAGTGATATAACAGAAAGAAAGCACTGGCCAGTTTTTGCTTTCTGTGATAGGTTTATTTTTGTTTCTTCAGCCTATTGATGGCCTCGGTGAAAAACTGACACATCCAAGTTGAACATTCAGAGTGCCCTACATATATTTTATTTGTGTGGCTGCCAAGGAATAATAGGCAGAGACCTAATAAACCTGGCCATGAAACAGCTTGTACATCAGTTGACC